AGTTGGCAGTTAATTTGCATATCTCGCTGATTAGCCAATGAAAAGGGTAGCGGTCGTACGCCAATTACCATGTTTCTCTTTTATTAGTGTAGATGGTTTTTAATTTGGTAGGAGCTTCTAAAATTTTAGCTTTGGGTTCTGGACTTAACTTAGTAGATTCAGTAGCATTTTATAGATGGGAAAACAGTAGCCCAGAGAGTAAGTGATTTATCTAGAATGATTTTGTCCATCAGGAGTGGCAGAACCAGGCACTTTCATTCTTCCATTCAGTCTCTATGTTATTCATTCTGCCTGCTAAGTATAGGTGTTTTCTAAGTAAAGGTTTTTTTCTTTCTCCTCTTATCTTCTATAACATTTGTAATAGAGATCATCCCACTTTTTAAAAAAGCTTTAATGAGATATAATTCACCCATATAAAGCACAGGTGGTCCTGACTTATGATGGATCACCTATGACATTTTGACTTTATGATGGTGCAAAAGCAGATGCATTTAGTAGAAAGAGTACTTTGGATTTTGAATTTTGATTCACTCAATCAAGGCATATACTTTTATTGTTTTTAGTATATTGAGCTGTACAACCATCACTATAAACAAGTTTATCACCCCAAAAAGAAACTCCATACCTGTTAGCAGTCACTTTCCATTCACCCCACTCCTATAGATTTGCTTGTTTTGGGTTTCATATAAATGCAGTCATGGAGTATTTGCTTATTTTTGACTGGCTTCTTTCACTTAGCATAATGGTTTGAAGGTTCATCCTTATTATAGAACATAGCAGTGCTTTATTCCTTTTAATAGCAAATCAGATTCCATTTATTTATCTGTTCATCAGTTGATGGACATTGGGTCATTTCCACTTTTTGGCTATTGTGAGTAATGCTATGAACATTCATGCATACGTTTTTGTTTGGATGTATTTTTTATTATTATTAATCCTCACCTCCTCACCCAATGATATGTTTTTGATTGATAGAAAGAGAGAGAGAGAGAGAGAGAGAGAGAGAGAGAGAGAAAAGAAAGTTCAATCAGTTGCCTCCTGTACGTGCCCAGACTGGGGATCGAACCCACAACTTGGGTATGTGACCTGACACTTCAACCAACTGAGCCACATGGGCCAGGGCTGGATGTATGTTTTAATTTCTCTTGGGTATATGCCTAGGAAAACATTTTGAGGAATGGCACACTGTTCTCCAAAGTGGCTGTACCATTTTACATTTCCCCTAGCAGTACATGAGGGTTCCAATTTCTTGAAACCATCCTTTTTGTTCATAATTTTTGACATTCAGAGGCCAGGGTTTTCAGCCTCCTAAGGAAAACAACTATTACTTTTATAGGGAATAGCCACTTCTGGATATTGGTTTGTTTTTAATTTAGCCATTAGTATGCTTTTAAAAATAAAGTATTAATGTGAGAACATTTAAATATCATTTTCATATTAGTTTATATTGGGCTGAGGGACCTGCCCCTCTAGTAAAGGTATAAGGCAGCATGGAGTGTTAAAGGAATGCTTAACTGGGAGAGTAGCCCTTCCTCCCCCCAGCTGCCAGCACTGGCTTCCCTCTGGCACCTGGGACCCGGGCTTCCCTCCGGCTGCCAACAGGCACCCAGGACCCGGGTTTTGTCAGGTCGTTCGGAAGGACAGGCGGTCTAACTAGCATATTATACTTTTATTGTAGATGAGAGAAAAAAGGGTAAAAATCACTGATCTATGGGATTTTTCAATGTGATGATTGACAGTTACTTAAAACAAAAATTGGGGTGGATGGGAATAAGAGATCATTTATTCAGCTTAGGTATTGAATTTAAAGTATTTCTTAATTTTA